CTTGCTTATGCCAAAACAAACATGGTCAGGATGAAGCTTAGTCCTACCTGATAGTCTATCCCATAGTATCTGTCTCCTCTATTGGGGATTAGCCCAACTTATACAACAACCACAAACATTCAAATAGAAATAGGAATCTTAGTAAAGGTAAGTGCTTGGTATACTTTTAAGGGAGGTTGAAATGTAGTGATTCAGGTAATAAAGACAGCTTTGTCAAAAACTTATCAATAAGAACAAAATAAGGAGAATTGTAGGGAAGAACATTGTCAATTGAGGGCATGCTAAATGCCAGAGGAGGAGAGGTCTGTCGTGACATGTACAAAACACAGAAAGCAAGCCAGCCAGCCTTTCTGGAAAAGTATGAGTGAGATGAAAAGCTGGGGGTGGAAAGGTGGGTTTGGAATACAGAGAACAGAGAACATTTTAGACAACATTACATTGCTTATGACTTGAATTACTGCTAAACAATATTGAGGGGGTTTAGCCAATAAAGTTATTTCAATTGATATTTAAAAATCTGCAGCGGTATTAAATAATATGGGACAGGCTACGGTAGGTATGCAAAAACAAAGGAGAACACATGAGAAGATATGGGGAAAATTTGATAATGATTTTGTCCTGGAGAAAGAAATAATAGAGGAGATAGGAGAAATTTGCACCTCAAGTGCGGCTGGGCATTCCAGGACAGCACCATCATTGTAGTTCTGGTGTTCTGACACTATCAAAGTGATCTTTTCCACACCTGGAATGTTTTTGGGCTCTGTCATTTAGGCTACTCCCTGGTCTCTAGAGTTTATGAAGCCTGGATGTGTATGCAGTGAGAGCCTGAGAAGGTAAATCAAAATAACTGATATAACTGATATAGCAGTTATGGGTGTTGAGGCACAGAAATCTATGTTAAATGATATTAAAAAGGCTATTGAATAAATACTATGAATTACATGACTTGGTCCTGTTTAGATATTTCAGCCAAATTTTCAACTCTAAAGATTAATTCAGCCAGTTGCTGCTTGCAATGAATACATCTTGTATGAGTGCAAATTGTAGTCCCAGCTGTTCCACTTCTAATCCAGCTCCCTGCTAATGTGTCTGTGAAAGTGGTCCACAGGCTTGGGTTTCTGCCATCCAGTTAAACAGAACAGGATGGAGTTGCAGACTCTTGTCTTCACCCTTCAACTCCTGGCTCTTGCAGCTCTTTAGGGGGTAAACCAGTGAAGGGAAAGTGTTTATCTTCATCTATCTCAAATAAATAAATGAATCCTTAAAAATAATACAAATAAGGCCAAGAGGTTGAGAATATACAATATTTAGGAGGAGTCATTCTCAACTAAGGGCAGTTTTTTTGCAGTGGGGTAAGTGAGAATGTCTGGAGACATTGATGGTTTCCACAAATGTGGTTGGATGTGGCTTACATGTGGGATCCAAATGTGCCTTCTCAACTAGACCCTGTAATTGGGCAGATTTACCCGCCTTCCACCCTGTCATAGAAGTCTAGATTGAGGTATCATTGCTGTGGAGAAGCAGTGTACAAAGCCAGCCCCCCTGTAGAGAGCTCCCGCAAAAAAGGAAAAGATGAGAAGCTGAGATGAACACATGTAGTTGATCCTGTCCCAGTTCATCGGAGAACTCCTACAGCTCTGCTGATACACACTAAGAAAAGTGGAAGCAAAAGGTCCTTGGTTTTACTAACTGAGCTACATTGACATGGAAGGAAGCGTCAAGAGTGGAAAATATATTCACTTCTCCCTTTCTCCTTGGCCAGCAGCTACAGGTTATAATCTTCTTTAACAGTATGGGCTACTACCTGTGGTACCCAGTGCAGCAGCTGTATGTGAGCATTTGTGTGATCAAAGTTCTGTGAATCTAAAAACTCCGTGTCTCAGTAACAGTAGGTCAATTCCCAAAGCCTTGTAGGCCCATATAGCTAGTTACTGTTATTAGACAGTAGTAACTATAGTGTAGCTGTTGAGTATTTTCATCATGACAGATGTGCTGGATGGTGCTGTTGTAGAATTCTGTCTCACTTAGCTTTTGTTATCAGTTACTGTATGAAGGCCTGACTCAAAGGGACGTGACAGTTTCTTCTATGGATACCTGAAAGTTGCCTCTTGAGATTTTACATTTCAAATCTGCACGTCAGAAGTATCTAGTCATTGATACAACTAACATTGAAACTCTGTTCATATATCAATATAAGTAATATTTTCTTAAACTAGAAAAAGTTTAAAATATACATTCTGTAACCCTCATTTTATGTGGATAGGTATGCATATATGAGTAGACTTAGAAAAACTCATGAAAATAAACTTATCTTGCTATAAAATATTTTAAACTCTGCAGATGAGTCTTTTTTTAAAGATTTATTTTTATTATTTTTTTATTGGAAAGGTGGATATACAGACAGGAGAGACAGAGAGGAAGATCTTCTGTCCGATGATTCACTCCCCAAGTGAGCACAATGGCCGATGCTATGCCGATCCAAAGCCAGGAGCCTCTTCGGGTCTCCCACGCGGGTGCAGGGTCCCAAGGCTTTGGGCTGTCCTCGACCGACCGCTTTCCCGGGCCCCAGGCAGGGAGCTGGAAGGGAAGCGGGGCTGCCGGGATAGAACCCGCGCCCACATGGGATCCTTGGCGTGCAAGGTGAGGACCTTAACCACTTGCGCTACCGCGCCGGGCCCTGCAGATGAGTCTTTAAAAAAAAAAATTCATGAAGTTTGATCAAATATTTCAAAAAAGATACTTGAGGGCCCAGAACAGTAGCCTAGAGGCTAAACTCTTTGCCTTGCATACGCTAATATCCAATTTGGGTGCCAGTTCTAATCCTGGTAGCCCCGCTTCCCATCCAGCTCCCTGCTTGTGTCATGGGAAAGCAGCTGAGGACAGCCCAAAGCAGGAGATCCGGAAGAGGCTCCTGGCTTAGGAACCGCTCAGCTCTGGCCTTTGCAGCCACTTAGGTAATGAATCAGCAAATAGAAGATCTTCCTATCTGTCTCTCCTCCTCCTCTCTGAATAGCCAACTTTCCAATGAAAGTAAAATAAATCTTAAAAAAAAAAAGATAATAGAAAGACTTTTGATGTTGTGAATACCATGAAATGATGAATGTCTGAGGTGACAGATAAGTCCATTATTCTGATCAAATCACTGCACATTGTGCATGCATCTGTGGAAGTGTCGTGGTGCACTCGACAAATATGCCGACCATGTCAATTAAAATTATATTTAAAAAATAAAATATTTTGAAGATGTTTCCTGACTGAAATTTCATCTTAATTGGTGATATTTCTTCTAACTGAAAATGAAATGAAATAGCAGTATTGCTAATGAAACTTGTTTTGTATTATTTTGGCCATTCTCATTTAATTGGTTTTAATATTATCACATGGTAACTTTTACTTCAAAATTTTACTGGTGTCTGAAGACCTTTGCTTAAAATTGTGTTGATTTTTAGTGTGGTTAGATGGCCATAGTTCGTGTTTAGGGCACTGTTTCAGACTTTAATGTCCTTGCTGCAGTAATTTAGATTTGGCCTTGTCAAGCAGAATATCTTAATTTTATGGAGTAAATTCTGGTCTAGCATCTGTAAGCTCATAAACCTCTAAATGAGGTGCCAGGTAAGATTGCAAAAAGCTTATCCCAGTCGTTAGTCAGTGCTCTGACTCAGCCCTCCTCAGAGTCTGTTCCCAAGGTGAACATTCTTTCGTCTCTGACTGCAACTTCCCAGAAGAGCCACTTCCTGGGACAGACGACTTGGTTTATCACATTGCTTATGAAACAGAGTAGAGTGTACACATAATATCCATTAGACCAAGAGCTGGTTTTTTTTTTTAAAGATTTATTTTTATTATTTTTTTATTGGAAAGGCGGATATACAGACAGGAGAGACAGAGAGGAAGATCTTCTGTCCGATGATTCACTCCCCAAGTGAGCGCAACGGCCGATGCTATGCCAATCCGAAGCCAGGAGCCTCTTCCGGGTCTCCCACGCGGGTGCAGGGTCCCAAAGCTTTGGGCTGTCCTCGACTGCTTTCCCAGGCCACAAGCAGGGAGCTAGAAGGGAAGCGGTGCTGCCGGGATTAGAACCGGTGCCCACATGGGATCCCGGGCGTGCAAGGCGAGGACCTTTAACCACTTGCGCCACTGCGTCGGGCCCGGTTTTTTGTTTTTTTGTTTTTTTGTTTTTTTTTGCCTTTTATTTCAGTGTCATTTTTCTTAGCACTTTATTCACTCTTAAAATTGCCAACCATTAGCATTTGATATTGAGAATATCTATTATTTTCTTTGGATATCCTGCGAACTATCTAAATGTACAATCTATTGTTTTTTTTTTTTTACTCAGCGCTACATAATTTTCATGGTAATAGAATTTTTTGAGTAAAAGAATTCTTTCCAATTCCCTTCTCCCGATCTAAACCACCACTTTGAAACCAGGTATATATATATTTTTAAAAATATATGTATCTATAGAGATATATAGTGTATACATACATATAAACACAATGAAATAATATTATTCCATAAAAAGCCTAACATTTTGTCATTGGCAACAACATTCATGGGGTGGAGGCTATTATTAAGTCAAACAGGTCAGGCATGGAAAAACAAGCAATGTATGTTTCCTCCGTACATGTGGAAGCTAAAAGCTTGATCTCAAGTAAAGAGAGAACAATGTGGTGTCAGGGAGGGAGACATGTGTACAGAATGGGAAATTGGTGAAGAAGTAAAATTGAATAGAGGGAGTAACTTCAAGTGTTCTATAGTCCAATAAGAAATCATAGTTAGCAATTAAATAATTTTATCATAAGCATTTCAGATGTGATAGCTTATTATTATTAAATTTATTATCTGTTATTCATTCTTGAATCATGACGATTTCTGGGTTTGGATAAAATTCCACCTGTACAAATGCATATGTATGTGAGGTTGATAACTTGAACAGATTTGACTACTAGGTAAATGATTCCTTCCTTAATTTTTTTCTGCTATTGCTTTTTGCATTTCAGACCCACTATGAAAATGGGGAATATATTATCAGGCAAGGTGCAAGAGGGGACACCTTCTTCATCATCAGCAAGGGAAAGGTAAGCTTTGGTGGGATGAGGCAGTAATGCGTTTATAGGGACCTTGCAGGATCGGCTGTGCACTCTCTTGACGGTGTGGGATTTGCCATCTTCTGACACTGAGAGAGAAGTAATTTTAAAGAGATCTCCTGAAAAACAATACACAAGGAAGAACAGTGGTTTCTGAAGAATAGTGATTAGCTGCAGTGTAATCTTCATAATATTAAATGCCACCTATGTGCCCATGAGAATAGAAATATCTCCATAGTTAATATTATTCAAATAATAGTAAGGTCACTTGAAAGATTCATCCAGACACGAGAAGCAATAATAGTGCTATAATTAACATCTGGACCAGATGGCGTTAAGTTTGAAATCACAGTGACAACTAAATTGTTATAGTGTTCTTAGGCAAATTATATAACTCCTTGAGGGCAAGAAAGATAAAAATATATTCATGCTTTATGGTAGCTTTAAGAAGAAATACTGATTAAATATAAACTATATAAATATAGTATATAATAAACTATAAATGAACTATTAAAATAAATAAAATTTTCAGAGTATATATATATTTAAATCAAAATATAATTCTCAATAGATTCATATTGAAAAACTAAATAATGTAAGAAGTAAAGTACAATTTCTTATTCAAACGCATTTTCTAGCACTCTGAATATATAACTTGGAAAAGAGTTAGAGAAAGAGCTTCCTACTACTGGTTCACTGCTCAAATGTCTGCATCGAGCAGATCTGTGCTGGTCTACAGCCGGGATCCAGGAGCTTCTGCCAGGTCTCCTCTATGGATGTAGGAACTCAAGGACATGGGCCATCCTCTCTGCTTTCTCAGGTCATGAGTAGCAAGCTAGATTGAAGTAAAGCAGTTGGGATTTGAACCTGTGCTAGCTTGGGATGCTGGCACCATAGCAGAGGACTAGCTTGCTATACAGCTACATCACTCCCAGTGATTATTCTTTTTTTCTTGTGTTTCCTGAATAAAACATTAATGCTTGTGTTTTACATGGTGGGTTGTTGAAACTTACAGTTTGCTGGGGTTTTTTTTTTTGTTGTTGTTGTTTTTTTTTTTGGTTAACACTCACTAAAGAATCAGAAAATTTAAAATCCTTGTACGTAAATGATTGCTTAGTCACATGGAAACTTTTTTGCTCCAGTAATCTGAGTTTATCTTTACTACATTGCTAGGTCTTCTCGATCATGGATGTTTTCTGTATCTCTGTTAATACAGATTTCTAGCCTAATTGTACAATCTTGCCAGCACTGCCTGAAAGGTACAGTGGTTTATAGCTAGCTTTAGATGAAAACAGGTGCATTAGTGGTTCTGTTTTATGAGTTTTATAATATGTGCAAGTGGGAATTATGCCATGGTATCTGATTCCTCTGGCAGTATTTCAGCAAACCATGGTGATCCTAGAAAAGAAAAAATAATAATCTCTTAGACCCTGTTGCTACTTTCAAGATTTTTTTTTAAAAACCTGATACGGATTTTTTCCAGCTCAGTCCTTTAGGCTGTACAAGTTGGTCACTGTGGTTTCTAATTATATCACTTACCTAATAACCAATTTTTTTCAGAATAATATGTAAACTATTCTAATAATGTAGAGGGATATATAATTCCCCCTTTCATATTGACTATTAAAGAGCAGATGTAAGGATAATTAACCTTTTTGTGTAAAGAAGAGGAAACAGATGAGTAGTAAGGAAGTTCATGTTGACAGGCAAAGTTGTAGAATTGAAATTTTTAAAACTATATATTCTGCTCCAAAATCTCAATATAAACACGTTTTCCTATGCATTAAAAAAGTACAAAGGGTAACTCTTTTCTTATTACCACTGACCTTGATTTTTCTCAGAAAATGCTGTGAGATAGAAATAGACATTCAACAGCAGGCTGTGGAGATGTAAATGGATTTCTACTTACTTCATTCCATTATTTAATGTAAAACATTTGTACAAGTTTTATTAAGTACATCCACGTGAAGAATAAACTAGCATAAAATAAACTTTAAAAGTACTTTTTTTTCCCCATTGATGCCTCAAGTTTCAGAGAAAGAATAGCTGTGGCAATCATGTCTGAAAGTACGGTGGCTGCCTCAGGTTGAAGTTGTATTGGTTCTTTGAACTCATCAGCCCATTCAAGTTGCCTAGACATGCAACTTCTTCCCATCTGTGAATAGTAAATTAAAAAGAATTCTGAATATGTCCATGAAGTTGCCTTGCATCACAAAATCAACTATCTCTATGAGTAAATTGAATAAAAGTTGAATAGAATTCATAGGAAAATTGTCAGAGTTGGAGTGAGTAATCATTCAATGCATTTGAATTTTTCCTGTTGTCTGATCTAGTTTATATCGTAACATTAGAAAAAGTATGATTCAAAAGTTCTTGCCTCTTAATGTTTAAAATCACATAACCTTGGTTCTTAGAAATAAATGTTCAAACCTTTTTAGATATGAAAAATTCTAGAGTGGAAATTATATATACATATGTGTGTATATGTATATATATACATATATATCTTTATGAATATGCAATGAATGACAAATATTTCCTACAGGGTTAGGGAATGTCTAGCCTGCAAAACTTATAAAGTCACTCAATAATTTCAACAGGCCCTGCCAAGGCAGCCACAGTAAGGACTCAAAATTCGGTTAATTTATAATAGACTTTTAAGTTGATAATTTTGTATCAAAATAGTCCCTGGAAGAAAAGAAGTTCTCTTTTCCCCTGAAGAATAAAATAAAAATGGATATTTTCATTACTTCTCTTTAGTATGGTTCTGTGTATCCCCACAATTGAAGTAAGTTTAAAAAAAGAACTTATGAATGATTTCTGCAAATGAAAAAACAGTTATAAATGGATTATGTAATTTGTCTTTTATGTTGAAGCAAATGTATCACTGAAATTAGTAAGAATTTTGTTAGGTCAGCATTGTTCAGTACATTTGTTCATTGTTAATGAATTCTTCTGTAATGAACAGCCCAAGATAGTGGCCATTAGTTCTACTTGTTGATTAAATTACAATAAACAGATTAAATTAAATGTTAGATTTCTCAATTGCAATGACCATATTGCAGTAGCTTGTTAGCAGCATATAGCTAATGGTGACTGTATTAAACATTATAAAATTACATATGTACTATAAAATAAACATCAAAAGAGCCAGATGACCCAGTGAAATCTCCCATTTTTCTAAATAAATCATTTTGTCATAAGTAAAGTGAGTATAGAAGAAGCGTACCTATCACAGACAGAACTACATATGACAAACTCCTAACCAGTATCTAATTGAATGAGGAATTCTAGAAATGTTTTCACTAAGATCCAGAATTAGGTAAGGATGCTCATTCTCACTGTTATTCAGAGTGGTTTGGAAAGTGTAGTTAGAATCATTAAAGAAGAATAAGAAATAAAGGAAGACAAGTCAGAAAGGAAGAAATTATACTGTTCCTGTTTGTAAATGATGTCCACAAAGAGATTATTGGAACTCATAAGAGTTTGAAAAAGTTGCAGGTTATAAAATCAACATAGAAAAATCAATAGCATTTGTATAGACAGAATCCCATAGCTGAGTCACAGTTCCATTCACAGTAGCTCCAAAAGTTTTTTTTGTTTGTTTTTTTTTTTTTTTTGAGATCAGTTTAACCAAAGACATGAAAGCTAGCTACAGTTAAATGGCACAAGAGGGAAACAAATAGAAAAAAAAAAGCAGAAAAATCTTCCATGTTTATGAATTGGGAGAATTACTATCATCAAAATACCCAAGTCCATTTACATATTCAGTGTGATCTTTATGAAATACCAAATACTTTGCCAACATAGACCTGGAAAAATGGATACCAAGATTTATATGGAATAAGGAGATAGCCTGAATAGTTAACACAATGCTAAAAGATAAAAACAAACCCAGAGGTACCACAGTAGAAGACATACTACAGGGAAAGGAAAGTGATGCAGTTGTTCCATTGGAATGGTGTTAGTTACAAATGAGTATATATGTATTGATGAAACCGACTACAATAACCAGAATAAAAATTTCATCTTATGATAATTAAACATTTGCCTGTTTTCTTAATACTTCTAAAAGTTGGTTATAACTATTTAAAATGTCTAAAATCACATAACTAGAAATGTAACTAATAAAACTGTGTCATATGTTTTAAGAAAATGTCATTTATGATTTTGAAAGAACAAAAGATTAACATGACAAAACTAACATGAACGGATTGAGAAACACAATAGGAGGTAATGGTTATTGAGACTTACAAAATTATGATAAAAAATTATCTTTGTTTTATATAGAGAACCAAAATCAATATCTACAATAAAACAACTTAGTCCAGTAAAAAAGAGGTAAAACTCGTGGAAAGAAGCATACACTACAAAGAAACATAAGGAAATTTTTAAAAATTCTCCACCTGAGTGAATCAGGGGAATGCTTTATCTAATGCCCCACTTGTTGGAAAATAGATCAAAGCCTGACTATATGAACTGTTGACCATAGTTTAACATGAACTTCAGCTAGTTCTGTGATGATACTAATAGTTTAAAATTTGATATATACGCATTCAGGAACTTTATTCTTCATTTCTGAGTGTTGGCATGAGTGAGATTCTTGCTTTTGGGCACTTAACAAGAAACATATATTACAATTTCCTAGTAGTGTTGTTACTAGCACAGTAAAAATGAAATGTGGCGAAAGTAAAACTTGAAGCTACCAACATTTACACCTGTGGAAGGATTATATAATATTTACATAGAAGGGACATCATGGGAAAATAAATGCGTTTTGGCTGCTCAGATTAACATGAATAAGTGAACAGCTCAGGAATAAGGAACCAGAAACCTTTATTTTAAATGACTCCCTTCTGAAGCTTCTACAGCTATAAAAGCTTCATCAGAATGCAAATTAGTGTCTCTATGATATAACATTGTGGTAAGTAAAACTCTTCAAAACTGAATTTCCATGGTTTGAAAACACTGTGGTGGAGCAATCAAATGGATCAGTGGAGAATAATAATTGAATTCCCTCCACCTTGCACAGACCTTCTTAATACTTATAAAAATTCTGGTCTTTGACATCCAATCATTAGACTCCGCATAGTATCTTAAAATGTGTTTAAGTGTCTGGCATTGTCTCAAGAAATTAGTTTTTCTACTTCATTACATTTTCCAAGTAGGTGAATTTTAACTATTTAACCTTTCTGGATAATACGCAGGCAGCATTATGAATATACAAGAGCTTGCAGAGGAAGTGAATTAACACGAAGTTACAGCATGCTCCCTTTGTGTTTCCATTCAAGGAGCAAAAAACTCCTGACCATGTGCTTTCTGTCAACTGTCACTGACATCACAAGTCCATTATGTGCTGAGACAGGCTGTTAGCAGTGAAGCTTTGTTTTAAAACACTTACAGCAACTTGAGTGCCTGTTGTAGAGAATCTCAAAGAAATACCTCATTGTTTGGATACTATGATATTATGATTAAACAAACATCATATTATAGAAGAAATTCTCCTGATTGAAACATAGTCAGGTAGAGTTCAGTAGGAAGGTGTCATGAAAATGCAACTGGCTTTAACATACAGGTTTTGAAAGGGATATCCCAACAAAGCTAGAACGTTCATAGGTGTATAGAAAGATACTAACTGGTGAGAAAACCAGTAGAAATACCTTGACTATAAATATATCAATATAATGAAATTAGATTGTAAAACAGAAAAATCAGTGAACAAGTTATGTCTCATAGAATTGAATAATATTAAAACAGTAACCTTCTGTTCTTTATTCATATCTCGTATTTACATATACATGAAGTATATTAAAAGCAAGTGTCAGAATGTTCCCTAAATATGTAGTAATAAATTGCTTGATAGAAGTCAGCAAATATGAACACAGAAAATAGTGAAATGCAAATTCCCTTTTGTGCTTTTTTTTTTTAAGGTGTATTTGTTTGTTGTTACTGGAAAGGCAGGACCCCAGAGAGAAGAGAGAGAGACAGAGAGAGAAAGAAGACAGAGATTTTTCATCTGCTGGTTCACTCCCTAAGTGACCGCAATAGCTGGAGCTGAACCAGTCTGGAGGCAGGAGCCAGGAGACTCCTCCAGGTCTCCCACATGGGTTCTGCATCCCAAGGCTTTTGGCCATCCTCTACTGCTTTCCCAGACCACTAGCAGGGAGCCGATGGGAAGTGGAGCACTTGGGACTAGAACCTCTGCCCATATGGGACCATGATGTATGCAAAGCAAGGATTTAGCCACTAGGCTACTATGTTCTTAAAAATAGAGATGATAATGAAGCATTTATAATTAATATCCTTTGGTTCCATGGGAATCTATAATATCATTATGGCTCTTTTAGCTAATTTAAAGTATTCATAAACGTAAGAGATGTAATTAACCTTATCAGTTAGTGTATATAATTCCGGGTTGCGATGATTTGTTGCTTTTATTGTTTCTCTTATAGGTAAATGTGACCCGTGAAGATTCACCCAGTGAAGACCCTGTGTTTCTTAGAACCCTAGGAAAAGGAGATTGGTTTGGAGAGAAAGCCTTGCAGGGGTAAGTTACACAGTGTTGGCTTGACTGCTGTGTAAGTTCTTATCTTATATTTTGAACCCCTGTGTACATATTCCCTTTCCTGAATGGATATCACATAATATATTCATATGTCAATCACATGGTACTTAATAAATACGTACATTGTGTGTGCCAGTAAGAAATAAAATTTCTTTCAAAATTTAAGAACTAAAATGGGGTAGGGAAATACAAAGACTTGAAAATCAGTTTTCTTTTGTGCTGGACTTACTTGTCATCTGTGTAATTAGGCTTTGGGTCTGATTAGTTTTTCATAATTGACTGTTGGATTACTAGAACAAATACACGGCTTTGTAATTTTAACTTCAGTCTCTTCAGGGTTAGTCTAGTTAATCATGAGTGAATTCATTTGTATGTTTATGTAGCATCGTCTTCAGATCTCTGCCTGACCCTAAGTCACATAGAAATGTCAAACTCTAAGCTAGATGTCCATTTGCAACTCTACTTTTGGGAATGGAGTATTCAGGGTCAAACTGAACCTGGGAAACGTGAGACGGAGCTGGCTTTGTGTCCCCTACCATTTGAGGCAGCTTAGCAGATAGTCAAGAGTGCTAGCTCTGAGGTCAGGCTTCCTGACTTGGAATTCACAGACTACCATTAACTAATTATGCAATCTGAGAGGTTTTCCTTTTGTCTATATGCGAGATTATGATAATACTTAACATTTTGGGTTGTTGTGGCATTAATTAAATGCATGCTTTTAATGCATTTGAGTGACTGTCTGCAGTTCTGCTGAGTAAACCCCCAAAGGCTAGCTGCTGTCACGTCTGTACCTTCATCATCATCATCATCATCATCATCACTACCTGTTCTTGCTCAAGAATGTCATGCTACTTTTTGACCAGAGTTACAGTACTTGGTATACTTGACATAGCATTGGCTTTTGATAATCGCTCATTAACTACACATTTGTCAGTAGGCCTGTTAGTCTTTCTTGTACATCTTTTCCTTTGAATCTAAACTAAGCCAACTGAATTTGTATTCTCTAAGTCCCTGCTGTGATGGCCTCTGATTCCATAATTTAGCCTCTGTATAACTGGAACAGACTTTGGAATGCTGGAATGATGTGCTGAGGATTCCTTCTAACTAGTGGCATTGAAGGAACTATTATTATTTATTGGAGACACTGTAAATATAACTAAAGCCTTTTTTTGCAACGGTCCAATTATCTGCTTTCAATATCAGCATTCTTAAATTGTTTATAATCATCCAAATTGTTTATGTGCTTATACTTTATTGTTAAAATCAGTATTTTAAGCACATGTAAGCTCGTTTTATTTGGATTTAATATTTTATACATATAAAATCTTAATCTATTTGCTTTGGGTCAAAGTATCATTTGTTTTCCTCTGTCATGCTCATTGATCTGTATTACAACTTTGTTCAAAAGTTTTATTCCTGTTTTCTACTCTTTAATAGTGAATCTAAAATTTTATATGTACATTTTAATTGAATTGCTAATCAATACTCTTTCACTTGAATAATGTAAGTAATAGTCATATAATAATTGTGTAATAATATAATAGTTACTCCCGCCTGTATTCTGTATAATTTTATGATATATACTTTCCCTGGAATTTTAAATCCTACATGATATTATTTTCACTTTTTTTTTGGTCAGAACTTTTAAATTAAAGATTTTTTTTAAACGATTTGGTTGCTTATTTGTAAGGACATTTGTGATTGTATTTAGGGTCCAACATACTTTAGCATGGCAGCATCTTATCTTGATCTGTTGACTATTTCTGAAAAGGGTCAAGTGTAGGTGCAGGGTGGAACTGTGAGGTATCTTTTCAGAGTGAATCCACACTATTTTATAAAACCAACCAGATGATTTCACTGTCTTCCTCAAAGGCTTCTGTGGCCATTCTTTCAGTATCATCAGTACTTCATGTGTATGTTCTATTTCTAATGATTTTTCTGCTATAAAAATCATCTTTCTGTATTTGCCTGATTTCACTTACTGTTCTCCGATTCCATCCATGTTACCCTTTCCCATTGCTGAGGCTAAGTGGCATTCCATTTTGTATCTGTACTTTATTTGGTGTATCAGTTCATCTGCTGATGGACGTTGAGGTTTATTCCTTAGGTTGACTGGCTATTATGCAACGTGATATATTAAACATGGAAGTTTAGATAACCTTTTAATGAATTGATTCCAGTGTTTTCATATAATACCTAGAAACAGAATTTCTGGATCATATGGCATGCTGCTTTTAGTTTTCTGAGGAACCCTAATATAGTTTTCCATAATTGCTATGCTAATTTACTTTTCTTGTCCTCACTTTCAGATGCAAATCTAAACTATGGTTGCCAGACCAATGTAATAGAGTTTGGCATTATTTTTTAAAGTAGTTTTTATAGATTCAGATGCTATATTTGTCTTTAATCTGTGTAAATTTGCTTGTGCATATTATGATAGGACAGGGTTCAATTTCAGTCTTATGCATATGAATATAATACAGTTGTCTCTATATGATTTATTGAAGAGAATATCGTTTTTTCACTGTACTGTTTTGTTACCTTTGAGAAAATTAAGCTTATTATGGATGTGTGGGTTTATTTCTTGGTCCTGTGAATTGTTCCTGATCAATCAATATAGCCATTTTTATGTTATGCCATTTTAATTCATAGCACATATAGTGTGGCAACAGGTAGTATGATGGCTGTGCCTCCAGCTTTGTTCTTTCTGTTTGTGATTGCCTTGTCTATTTATAAAGTTTTCTTGTGGCTCTATTTGGATTTTAAATGTTTCTTATATTTGAAAAGTGACATTGGAACTTTGATAGCAACAGAAATGAAATTGCAGATTACTGTGTGGAGTGAGGTTATTTTCGTAGCAGTGTTTCTGATCCATTTGTGTAATATTTTACCTATTTCATTTATATGTTATTGCTTTCAGCTTATATTCTTTCACCCCCTTGATTAATTTTGTCCTGAAATTCTGATTTTTTTAAAAAAACTGTCATTAATAGTATATTCTCTTGGTTTCTATTTTGTAAGGTGCATTCGTAATGAAGAGAAATACTGTGGATCAATAGGGTGTTTATTTTGTTTTCTGCAACTTGACTGAATTCATTTGTCAATTCTAACAGGTTTTTTTTTTCCCCTTGAAATCTTAAGGATTTCCTATCTATTATGTTAAGTGCATAGGGATTTTTTTTTAAATGTCGACTTTTTTAAATGTCGACTTCCAGAAAAAGTCTTGGGGCTGACTTACAGAAATGAGTGTTGATAAAGGGGGCTGGATATTTGTATGTTTTAGTTATGTTAGGATTCGAAGAAGTTGTGGAGGTGGACAGCCAAAGTAGAGACAATTTTATTCAAATATAAACCTAAGAGAGAGGGCGTTAAGAGAGGGAGTTGAGGCTGCTTTAGCAGAGGACAGGTGGTTTGAAATCAGGCTTCATTCCCTGGGCACTGGTAGAGTCCCTTTGTAAGCCATGTGCTGGGTCAGGTGCGGAATACCACTCAGACACTGGTAAAGTAGATGGCTGAAGTCTACATTACGTAGTCTTCACAGTTTCAGAAATCTCATGTGAAGGCCACACTGAGAAATACTCATGCCACTCTCCTTTAGATGATCTTTCTGTGCCCAGCCTCGTAGGTTTGGAGGTCTTAGTTCTCAGTGGCCAACCAGTTCCAACAGGGGTTGTTAGAGAAATATCAGAATCTATTACTTTCTTGTAAAGTCATTTCTTTGTCCTTGCTGCTTAAGTGTAAGATGATTTTCAATGGTGAAAACTGAGCTACTTAAAAAAACAATCCAGTCCCTCATTGTTATTCTCCAACCTGTCATTCAGACAAATAATTCCCTTCAAGTTGCTACAAGATAAGAAAAAAGAATGCAAATTTGAAAAATCTCTTCCAAATAGATGGAAAAATGTTTTATTCGAAGCTAATTTTCTTGTTAATAAACCCAGCCAGTGTTTTTGTCTCCATAATTTTTATTCCTTTCAAGTCTAAGTGATTGCTTCTTAATTTTTCTGTGACAGTATGGAAGAAAATGGCTTGTTATAAATCATATTCAGGCAACAAAGATATTAATTTACTAGATTCATTTTCATTAATCATTTGCGTTGCCTATAAAAAAAGTGTTTTAAAGGTCTGTAAATATTTTTGCCATAGTGATTCTTTTGTGTAACATTACTCATGTGTTCTGGTTAAGATTGTGTCTATGTGAAAGAAGCATTTTCAACCACAGTTAGTCTCACATAATGCACTCTCCTCAATGAGATTCATTCAATCAAGAGGAACTGAGAGATATTTCGGAAACATATGCTATGAAATAAAGCCTTGTTCCATGTTTTAAGCTTTCAGGAAGATTGCAATATTATTTTTAGGATATTGCAAGTCGTATTGAAATGGTCAAGTCCTTCAGCTTTTCCCACAATCTCAGAATCATTTTGTAGTATATCAGTCCATAGGCTTATAGGAACACATGATTTAATCACATAAAGACAATTAAAAGTTAAAATTTAAATTCCATTTATGACACTCAATATTAACCTCCCATATGGCTCTATACCTTCAGTGTAATCCCAATGAAAATACCAGCAAGCTTTTAAAAAATGCTTTTAAAGGTTTATTTACTTTTACTTAGATACAGGGAGAAATAGAGAAAGAGATAGATTCTGTCTGCTGCATCAATTCCCAAATCAGCACAATGACCAGAGATGGCCCAGCCCCAAAACCGGGAACCAGGAGCTACCTCTGAGTCTCCCACGTGGGTGCAGGAGGCCAGGCACTCGGCCATCCTCTGCTGCGTTCCGGTAATGGTCTAATTAACACCATTGGTTTCATGGTGCTACATTTAGAGGGCATGAAGTTCTGTTTTGGCATTATCAGAGGGTCTGTAGATGCACAACTTGCTTTACTCTAGTCACTAATAAAAGTGCTAGAACTCATTTCAAATGTATTGAAGAATAGTCATCAGTACCATTAACTTACTGCATGTAACACTT